GGCATGTGCACGGGCTAGGGGGAGGGAGAGAGAGAGAGAGAGAGAGAGAGAGAGAGAGAGAGAGATCATCTTCCAGAAGGGATGGCCACACTGTAATCCATTCTCCTCCATTCTCCTCTCGGGATCACATGCACACATGCTCAGCACGTTTTTCAAGCTGCTGGGCCCAGGACCCAAACCACACAGTCAACTATGTGGGATCCAGTCACCTCAACTTCCACACGATCCACCAACCTTTTCTCATTTGCAAAAATGAAGATAGTGTTCAGGGTTGTTTGGATGTCTGCACCAGGGATCTTCAAAGTACATGGAAATGTGTATCATGAAAAAAACGACCCAGATTTCAAAATTTTTGCACCAAAATAACTTGTTTTTTAACTTCAATTTTTCGTGACCTTTTTGAAACCCTCCCCAACCCCCTTGTATTGTAAAGAGACCAGCACAGGGCCTGGAGTATGGGATACTCAGCAAATAAGAATTATTATGATTATTAACTATTTTCATAATTATTTTTACTTAAATCACCTTGATACTCACAGCTAAAGGTAATCCGCCACCCTTTGAAGTATGCTGTGAAAAATATCAAGAAGTGTGTGTCTGGGGACCAGCACTTAGCGTAACGGCTATGGCGCTGGACTCCCACGTAGTCAACTGCGGTTCGCGTCCCGGACCCGGTGGCTTAAAACTCACACCGGGTGCGTGTGCGTGCGTGCCCAAGATCCCTAGAGGAGAATGGAGGAGAAGGGATTGCAGCATGACCATCCCCCTGGGGGGTGATTTTTCACTTTCTGTCTGTCTCTGTCTGTCTGGTGAGCGCATGTGCCCTATGGCAAAAACCTCTCAAAAAAAAAAAAGAGGTGTGTTTCTGCAGACACACAGCCTAGAACAAATGCTGCTAAAATGTAAGCCATGCTCAGTCCTAGGGAACAGCCAGCTGGACAGGAAAATGTCATCCAGGAAATCCCACTGCCTTTAAATGATGTCAAGGCGATGTATCTAGGAGGCCAGTGCTCTCCTAGAGGGGCCTGTCTCCACAAAGCGTGGAAACATGGAGTAGGTATAACCCTGCATTTCTTTAAAGTAATTAAACATAAATGAATGGGAGCAGCTTGAAACAGCTGCCGCTCTGTACAGATAGGCTGGACAAACAGGCCGGGCGTGCTTCGCGGCTGCCCAGACAAGAGGATATTAAAAGCAAACAAGCCACCAGGAGGAGCTGGGAGTTGTTGACTCTGGGTGGATAGCCGTCATCATGGTGTTTTCCACCAGGCTCCAGCACTTCCTCCAGGTACAGGGAGGAACAGGAAGGCCCGGGGAGATGCAGAGAGACCCACATGGCTGGCCCGGGCACCTTCTGCCGGAGTTGTCTGTGCTGCCACCCTGGCCGCACGGGCAGCCCTGGAGCCCAGGCCTGAGCCTGTCACTCACCGGCGTGGGATGACAGTCACAGCCAGCGTTCATCATTGGTCAGAGACGCATGGGCCAAAATGCCCGCGAGGCGTTATTTCCTTTAAATCCCACAGGCCTATCTGGTAGGAATTATTGTCATTGCCGTATTTTGGGGATTTCCTAATGGGACCTGCGGCCTCGATGTCCTTTGAAATCCCAGACCTGGTGGAGTTCTCTGTGCGCTCACCTACTCTCCGAGCACTTCCTGCAGCCTCTCGCCCTCACAGAGCCCGGGATGTCTCCCGTGGCCGCACTGACGGGTCCACGGTCCTCCAGCTGCTCTTCTGCTCTTCTCTGTCTGCCTTCCGAGACCACGACTCTTCTGAAGAGCGTGCTGCTAGATTACAGGCCCCTCCTCCTCACCTGAGCATCTGGTGGCCCCTCAGGGACCCCTCTGTCACCACCTGGCTCATGCTCTCGTCACCATTACTCCTGTCACCATTTTCAGTGACTTCAACATCCAGGCGGATAACCCACCAACATCCTGGTCTCTTCCTTCTTAATCTCCTTCCCTGCAAGGTTTTCTTTTTTTCTCTGCTCCATTTTCTTTCTTTCTCTCTTTCTCTTTTTCTTTCTTTCTCTTTCTTCTTTCCCTTTATCTTTCTTTCTTCCTTTCTTTCTCTCTCTTCCTTTCCTTTTTTAGGCTTTTTCTATAAGGCATGTGCACTTGCTGGAGAGAGAGAGAGAGTAAGAGGGAAAGTGAGAAATCACTTTCCAGGGGAGTGGCCACGCTGCAATCTCTTCTCCTCCATTCTCCTCTTGGCATTTTGGCCAGGCATGTGCACGCATCTGGTGTGGTTCTAAAGCCGCCAGGTCCAGGACTTGAACTACAGTCGGCCATGTGGGAGTCCAGTGTCTTAACCACTACTCCACCTGCTGGCCCTCACATTAGATTTGTTGAGGCTAAGTAAAGCCCTTCTCCACAGGAAAGCAGAGGTGTGTGGTCCCAAGATACCTGCACAAGGACCCTCGAACCATGGAGAAGGCAGTTTGGGGACGCTGGTGGGGGACGTGAAAACGTCACTGTCCTGTGGGAGACAATGGTTCCGGAGGGCTTGGGCACGTCCTCAGGGATCTGGTCTTCCTGCAGGTCTGGCCTTCCTGCCTGCCAGTGTCTCCTACCTCATTGGCACCAACCTCTTTGGAGTTCTGGCCAACAAGATGGGTCGGTAGGTGGTCTGGGGATCTGGGAGGAGCAACAGAAATGCGGTGTGGGAGAGCCCTCTCGGTCTGGGATGATGACGTGCTCCTCTGAGGTCGAAAGTTTCGGGCAAGGACACACAGATGAACACCGTGCACTGCGGGGTGGGTGGTGAGTGGCCCGTGAGGGCAGTGTGGAGAGGGTGGTCCCGAGCTGGCTGCTGTGGAAGGCTCAGTGACTGCGTCAGGACAGCCCTGACTTCAGCCACTTGCTGTCCAGCTGAAGAGGTCAAATACACCCCAAAGAGAACAGCTATGGATGCAGCAGCACTTCGAGGCCGTGGGTGTCAGTGTTCTGTGGAACCCCAGGGAGTCCCACAGAGGTGCCTCGGAGACCACCCCGGGGAAGAGGCTGGAGCCCAAAGAGCAGGAGTCTAGGTTCTGTTTCTGCACTTCGATTTTAAACAAGTTCATTTTAAAATTTTCTTATGAGAGATGGGGACAGAGAGGAGAGGGAGAGAGGGAGGGAGGGAGGGACTACCCTTGGCCTCTGCAAGCCTGGATCAGGCATGGACACACCTGGTGTGCATGGGGAACCCTCGGGACGCGATCCCGGGACCTCCCCACATGGCTCAGTATCCCAGAGCATCGCATTAGCACTGCACCACCACAGCTGGCCAAGAACAAAGTCAATTCTATCTCTAGCGTTTGGCATAATATTTACAATTAAGCATGAAAAGCGCTGTCATAGGAAGTTGGAGAAGGGAAGAAGTTTAGTATTGTTTGTGTTCTTGAGATAGACCTTGAAGACCATGGAAGCAGAATAGGTAGGAGGCAGTGTTTTGCTTTGTGTGCCACAGGGCATGTACGCTTGCAGGAGGGGCAGGGGAAGAGAGCTCACCCCTAGAGGGGATGGCCACACCACAGTCCCTTCTCCTCCATCTCCTCTCGGGACTCGGGACACACACACACACATGCCCATGATTTTCAAGCCACTCACGCCGTGGTCAGCCATGTGGGAGTCCAGCACCTTCGCCACACTACCCGGGGGCCCAGTGGGAGGTAGTCTGAACTGGGGAGCGGCGTGAACTAAGTTAGAGGGCTGCTTCCGGTCACCAGCTCACTGGGTACAGACTGGTCACACTGAGGTATGTCTCTGCTCTCAGCTCCTTGAGGGTGGCTGGGACTGGCTGGTGTGTGGTGGGAGGGCGGGGGCAGGGCTCACTCCCTGGCCTTATCTGATGGTGGCTCTTTCTCCCAGGTGGCTGTGCTCCCTGGTCGGGATGATGGTAGTAGGTGTCAGCTTGCTCTGTGTAAGTATTAGACCTGGTGGGGAGAGAGACCCAGACATTAAGGACCGTGCCCCTTTAAGATGAGCACAGGCTGACACGCAAGGACTGTCAAGGAGACTCTGGGTGGGTGGGATTTAGCACTGGGGAGATACCGGGTGAAGGGTGCCCCACTAAGAGGAGGTGCGGGAGGCGGGGGGAGGGGCGGGGCAGCAAGACCAGAGGTCTGAGCCTGTGTCTGGTGTGCGAGGTGGCGCAGGTGGCATCTATGCCTGGGCCAGCACTAGGCCATGTGGTGGGCCCGGGTTTGCGTCCTGGAAGGCGCGCCTGTGATCTGGGCTGGCCGAGGCTGGGGTATCACGTGGCAGGGCACTGCTGGGTGCCCATCTGTCTCTCCCCACACACGGAAGAAATCAGTAAACTTAAAAGAAGAAAAGGGAAGAAGACTTTTGGGGGACAGAAAAAGACCGTCCTTACGGTGCAATGAAGTCCCCTGAGGTTTACACCTGACCTTGCCGCTTATTAGCTCTGTAACTTCGGGTAAGACGTCTAACCCGCGTGGCACCAGTCCCTTCATCTCTTCTAGGACAGAGAGAGACCCCTAATAGGCTGCATCCACCCTGGTCTCGCCAGCATACCAGGGTCACCCAGGCTCTCACCGGCAAGCTCAGGAAGGGCCCGGGATGTGAACCCAGGACCATCCCATGTGGGGCCAGTTGGCCAGTTGTGTTCCCACTGTGGTCCTGCCTAGCCCTGCATTCCACATCATAGCTTTCAAATGGAGGTAGACAATCTTTACAAGGAGGTGCGAGGGTTCCAGGAGATAATGAGTGTGGCACGAGGCGCACGCGTAATAAAAGAATTTCTTGTAAAAAGTAAAGAAAACCACCCGTCCTGATGTCCCGGCACCTTGCAGGTCCCTCTGGCTCACGACATTTTTGGACTCATCGGCCCGAACGCAGGCCTTGGCTTTGCTATAGGTGAGATGTTTTCCAAGAAAACAAGAAGCCCTTGCAGGTTGGCTTTGTCTGATCCCTTCTTCCTCTTTTCTCACTGAGAGGGGTTGGGGGGATGGCAGACGGAGCAGGAGGGCAGCTGGCAGGGCATGGGGACTGTCATAGTCCCCCCCTGGGATAAACAGTGGTGCTGAGCGGGAGGGCAGCCTGGAACAGACAGTGGCGCTGGGCGGGAGGATGGCCTGGAATGGACGGTGACACTGAGGGGGAGGACAGCCCAAACGGATGGTGGCATTGAGTGGGACGGCAGGCTGAGTGTGGGTGAGTGGGGGGCAGGGCCGTGCTCACTGACACCCCGTCTGCTGCGGCCACAGGCATGGTGGACTCCTCTATGATGCCCATCATGGGGCACCTGGTGGACCTGCGGCACACCTCTGTGTACGGGAGCATCTACGCCATCGCCGACGTGGCCTTCTGCACGGGTTTTGCTGTCGGTGAGCGAGTGCGGCAGGGAGGGGAGCGCTCGGGAACCTGGTCTCTTCATCTACTATCTACCAGCTAGACACCGTCCAGGAGGCTGAACTCCTGGGTTCTGAAGACTCTGAGCCACGGCCCCCTCTGGGTCACCTGCTGCGTCTAGCCTAGCGTCTTACGAGGGTCCAGGTTCCTTACACCTTGTCATCTGACCCCTCCTCACAGGCCCGTCCACTGGAGGTGCCCTTGTGCAGGCCATCGGCTTCCCGGGGCTCATGGCCATCATCGGGGCAGTCAACATGGTCTACGCTCCTCTCTGCTACTTCCTGCGGAGCCCCCCGGCCAAGGAGGAGAAACTCGTAAGGGCTCCATCACGCGCTCTCTCCCGGGTCCCTCTGGCTCCTCCCACCCGCGCCTCTGCGCCATCACCTGTTCTGACCCCCTTTCGTCTTTACCTTTGTCCTGTGTTTTCCCTTTCCTGAGCAACCACTTCTCTCACCTGGACTGTTCGGTGAAGAAAGAAAACCAGAAGTTTTGGAGTCGGGGCAGGGGCTGTCAAAGGGCCTAGTAGTTACCATAGTTACTAGCAAGGTGCGAAAGATCAAATTGTCTCCCCAAGAACGAGAGAGTCCATCAGGCGCTTTCATTCATTCTTCCATTCATCACTCATTCATTCATTCGAGTCTGCCATTGCCCTTGCTGGGTCATTGAAAGTACAGAACCTCAGGGAAGGGACCCATAACATGTTTTCAGTTAGCAAGGTACTGGTATCAGCCTGAGCACCTACGGGTCTGGCTGGGCTGGGGGTGGCTGGAGAAAGTGGTCAAAGGACAAGGAGGGCAGGAAGGTCTGACGGAGTCGGCTGCTCCCTGACGCAGCCGGACTGCCCTGCTATGGAGCCATTAAGAGCATGGCAGGTGTCTGCCTTGAGAGGCCTGAGCAGGTAACACAGGAAGCAGGAAGAGGGTGCGAGGCTTGCTTTCTGCGTCTTTCCTAAGCAAGGCAAGGCTGGGCTGTGCTAGTGGGGCAGGGACCGGGAGACTATCAGAGGCGAAAGTGGCTTCTCTTCTTGCCTCTCGCGGCAGGCTATTCTGAGCCAGGACTGCCCCCTGGAGACCAGGACGTATGCAACCCAGAGGTCCACCAAGGCGTTCCCCCTGGGGGACGACAGCGAGGAGGAGCCTGACAGTGACAAGTAGTAGCAGAAGGTGACTCTGAGTCCTGTCACCTGTGACTCCCGAAGGCCCAGACTCCAGTGACCACCCTGCACTGGGACCCTCGGGGGCTGCTCGGCGGGCTTCACTTCCCTTGGTCTTGGCGACTCCCCTCCTCATCCTCTTACCTCTGCGGCCCTGTCTAAAGGAGGCTCTGGTGCCCACCCTCCGTGGGAGGACAGAGGGTCACTCCCTCCCTGCTGCTGTGAGGCTGATTAAACTGGAGCTGGGACGAGTTCTGCAAGGGTGACTCAGTGTACGGGGGTGGCCGTGAGCTGGGAGCCCCTGGAACCAGTGGGGCGACTCACGAGCTTGGTCTGGCGTGTGGTTTTCCTTCGCTCCTTCCCAGCACACTGAGAGTTCTGTCCCGTTCCTCAACATGTTCTCTGGGTTCTCCCAGCTCCCATGAGAAAACACCCCACGTGCTGCTCAGCTGCTGCTTTTGGGGACCCCCCACCAGCTTGTGTTCCATAAGCGGAGTGGTTTCCCTGTGGCTAAACCCAGAGCCGCTCAAGTGCCTTGCCCTGCGGAGCGGGCTCTTCCCACCCTCTTCATCGCCCATGGAAAAGGAACGCCTGTCTCTCTCATGCCTGAGCCACTCGTGTTCTCCTGACCTCTCCCGTGTGTTTGCACCTTTCCTGGATCTCTTAGACCCTTGGAAATACAAGTAGAAGGCAGACAGGAGGAATAATCTAGTAGGCGCAGGGTCTCGCAGGGAGACGGGGAGAGGAATGGCCATGACTCCATCCTGCCTATGGATTTCCTACCTGAGGACTGTAAGGAGCCGTGTGGCCACGGGCTAATGAATACGGCACTCCCTCTCCCGGGCACGGCGGGCGAGCTGCTGTCTACAGCGGAAGACGGTGTGTGACAAATGCCGTGACATTTACCTTTTGAGACAGTTAGCAGGTGACGGGGTTTCGGAGAGATGGGAAACGTGCACCACCCTAAGTAGCTTCTTCTGTCTATTTGGGCAGACAAGACATCGACGTTGTCTGGACTCAGGTTTGCTCACAGGGGCAGGAACGCCTGCCCCGGGTGGGGACAGTGGCTTAGATGGAGGCAGAGGCAGTGAGAGACCACAGGGTCAGGCTGAGGGGTGCATGGATATCAGACCTCGGCTGTTCCAACTTCACCTAGCAGGGCCCCTGGCTGATACGCGCTCTCTGCAGGGGCTGGTGGGCCGAGTACAAGCCCTGAGTCACCCAAACCTCTCAATGCACCCTTAGCAGTTAGATAATGGGAGACTAGATCTATGGATGTGTTGTTTGGGGTCAGCTTTAACTAGACTTATCTGATGTGCAAAACCGGATGTGCTTACATCAGAGAATCCCAAAGGTACAACTATAAGGTTGTCTGCCAAAGTAGTAACCTCTAACCACAAAGGCAGGCAGAGCGATCCACTGGAACCCCAGGACAAAGGAGGGCTGGGGAGTGTGGGGGTCTGGGCAGGGGTAGACTGCTGACTCTCACGTCCATCCAGGGCAGGGTGTAAGTAAAGGCTGAATTTGTTAGAGATTGGTAACAGATTGAGCCAAAAACAAACAAACAAACAAAAAACCAAAAACACCCAAGCATTTTAAAAAGAGAAACTGATCCCTGATTTGTCAGTTAACATTGTTTGGACACTATACAAAGATATGGGCATAATTTATGGAGACTTTCAAAATAAGTCAAGAGCGACACCAAACACCACGAAGCCGGTCAGGGCGCCTTATCAACTGCACGTCAGAAGCAGAGGAAGGGGTGCTGGACAGTGGCACAGCAGTAAAACAAAGCCCCGCGAGGCTGGCCCACACGGGCAGGTTGCCGGTTCGTGCCCGGGGAGCTCCGTAGTACAATGGGTGTGGGCATACCAGGACCCAGGGCTGCTGGGCCTGGGGGGTCCTGGTATCAGCACTCTGATGGGGATGCCACCTCTCTGTCTCTCTCACTCATGGAAAAGATACTTCAAAAATAATGTGAAAAAGAAATTGATTAATGATCAGAACTACAGCCCATGTATAGCCAAGTATTAAAAAAGAGTTCTGCACCAAAACAGAGAATGGAAGAGGTCCTCACGAGTGGCCTAGTCAGTGGCATAAAGAAGACAATGCTGGCTGAACGCCTGCAGTCCCAGGTCACACGAGGTCCCAGAAGGTAAGGCCCACCCCGCGAGCGAGCACAGACATTTATGGAAGCGGCAGGAATGGCAGAGGACCCTCCGCGCCAGGTGGAAGATGCGTATTTTCCCCTCATGAAAAGGAGGTAGTGCAGGCACAGGCTCTGAACTAACCAATGATAACGCAGCAAAGACGACGATGGGCTTTGGGACCAGCAAATGACCTAATGGTTACCTGGCTGGACTCCCACGTAGTCGACTGCGGTTTGAGTCCCGAACCCGGTGGCTTAAACTCACGTGAGCATGTGTGCGTGCGTGCCCAAGATCCCGAGAGGAGAATAGAGGAAAAAGGATTGCAGTGTGGCCATCCCCCCTGGGGGGTGATTTCTAGCTTTCTGTCTCTCTGGCAAGTGCACGTGCCCCATAGCAAAAACCTCTCCAAAGACAAGAAGAAAAAACTAAAAACAGAACTTGCATCACAGCAAACAGCTTCTACTACGAACGAAACTTAATACAGGGTCTTTTTTTTGCAAAAGTGAATTATTACTGAAATTTAAATGGGCTGTGGAAGCCTTTGTACACATTTTAGGAAATGTGCTCTTACCGTCTTCTGCTCCCCAAGGCTTCTCCCTCCTGAGCCACTCCCCAAATTCCAGCTTGACTCAGTGAACTTGTCCAACTTCTGACTCAACAGCCAGGAAGGCTCAGTTCCCATTCCTTCCAAAAGAGGGCAGCAGAGCCCATGCTAAATTGCTAGACTCGGAAATAACTGAACGGATCTGTGTAGACCCAATTCGGTACCTGAGAAACTTGATGTTAATTTTCTGTTCGCTTAATTGTCCTGGATTTTACACAATTTGTAATTCATTAACAGTTGGTAATGTGTCACAAATTGTAAGGAGACTTTATTTTCTGCGTTGGTCCTTCCTTTCTCCCTTGCCCTGTCCCCCCTCTAGCCTCAGCCACTGGAGCCCTGCTTTCTGCCCTCCAGCTCACTCTGGGAGGGAATGGGTGAAATGCTGTTAGTCTCTGGGTTCTGTTTTATCTAACCACAGTCCCAGAAAGGGGCTTCTGCCCTAGAGCTGCGCCCAATAAACACCATTCTTTCTGTGTTTTCCAGTTGGAAAGAGGGCATGTGTACATGCCAGAGAGCGGAGGAGAGACAAAGAGAAAGAGAGAGAAAGCACCCCCATGGGGTGTGGTCAAGTCCCACTCATTCTTCTCCAGCCTGTTGGGATTTCCGATATGTTTGCACACACACCTGGTGCATTTTTTCAAGCCACTGGGGCCAGGATTCAAACCACAGTTGGCCACGTGGAATCCAGTTTCTTTAACTACTAGGCTACAGGCCAGCAGCAGGTTAGGTCCTGAGATGGGAAGATCATCCCAGATGGTCCCGGGGAGTCCCGCTAGTCAAACAAACCCTTAAAAGAGGAGAACCCTTCTCAGTGGTCAGTCAGGGAGGACGAGAGAGGAGTTGGAAAGACTGGCCATGGCTGGTTTGAAGATGGTGCTGGAGAAGGGGGCTCTGAACCAGGGAAGCCTCTGGCAGCTGAAAACACAGAAGGGAAGCCCCCCAAAGCCTCCCGCGTCCGGAGAGCACGCCCCTGCCAACCCCTTGCATGCAGGCTACGGAGACTCATTTTGAACGTCTAACCTACAAACCAAGGTGAAAAATCCGTGTTGCTCTAAGCCACTGAGTTTATGATGGTTTGTGACAGTAGCAGTAGGAAAGAAATACACACACAAAAACAGAAAGTTGGTAAGAGGGAGATCTCGTTTAACAGAGATCCACCAGGGGGCGGACTTACCACACTGTTGAAATCCGACGCCGCTTCCAGGAAGCTTCCTGCTTTATCCATTTCCGGAGTTTTTCTACCAGCACAAAACTCTGTACTCCTCAAAAAGACCCAAGAAGTACTGTTCACTTTTGTTTTGGCCCTGTTTCTACCTCCTTTCAGCCTAGAAAGCACAGGCTCCCCGAGGCCCCGGGACAGACCTGGCCGCCAGGACTGCAGCCCGTACCTGGCCGGGATGTGCGAGGCAGCTGCCAGCCCTGACCACACCCGCCAGCTTCCGGCCACGTAAACCCCCTGGCCCTCGGTTTAAGCCCATCCGGCGACCCAAGAAGCCACGTATGCCTCCGCAGTAACGTTTCCAATTTCCCTTCTCTCTGCCGGTCTCTGGCCTCCCTCTCTCCCAGCAAGGCCTCCGAGAACTGTGAGCACTCCCCGGCCCTGGGGCTCCCTGGTGCGTGTTCATGGTCTTTCCCGCCGTCTAGGTGCCCCGGTGACCTGTCAGCTACTGCACGACAGAAACAAGCTTGCACGGAACCTGGCGCCTCCTTGTCCACAGAGAGGCTGGGGTGAGGGTCTGTTAGCAGAGGGCCAAGCCTGGGGGAGCAGAGGAGACTGCCGGCCCGTCCTGCTCATGAGGGCATCTGGGGAGGAGGGGGACATGGCCAGGAGGCCATAGCAGAGCCGGGCCTTGAGGCACAGGTGGAGTGAGCTTGAACAGAGGGGAGGGGAGCAGAGATAGGCCCAGGGAGGTGAGTGGGTGGGGGCTGGAGGACAGTAGGTGTGGGAGGCTGCGCTCCAGGGAGTCTGCCCAGGTTTCTCAGAGAGCAAACAATTGCCATGATTGGTTCCCTTCAAAAAACCTGACCTTCAAAACCTTGCTCTGATTGGCCACTAGAATCCCTCA